CACGGCTATGGCCAAACAGGTAATAAGTGCAATCTTAGCTGTATAAGCCTATCGATAGGCAAGAAAGACACACGACCTTGAAAGTGCGATCTCGGGGTATCGGCGAACAAGCTGGATAAAAATGATATATTCATACTGATAATCGATTAGACTCAATGGATATATTTAAATATGCTATGCAAACCAAGTTTAACGTCTTACAATAACCGCGTGTAACTCAAATATCCTTGGTTCGCAAGGGATATTTACGGATGTTATGGATAAACAAAGATACATCTTTTCTACGTTTTCAACGAAAATAAAATTTGAAATTTTAAGCCTCGAGCTGTGCCAGAATATATGCAATCGAAGATGACTCGTACATTTGCATATGACATTATATGCTCTTCTCTATCCGTTTTCACTGGGTATAGGGCTTAAAAAGAGTTGTGTTCAAAGATAAAAGTAAAATATTTCATACTGGCGCACAGAAAAGATACATTTAAAGCACAGTTGGCGTCGGTACTTAATAAAAAGGAACTTGGCAGCAGCACATCAAAAGGCACAGTATCAACTACTTGAAATCATTTAAGTTACTTGCTTTGGCAGGCTTTCTCTTTGACAACATTTGTGTCGATGATGTTTTAATTTATGTAAAATTATGTAAGCAAACGCTGTAGCTGCTGCCTACAAGCGGCATCAATTAGACACATTATTCGGCTAGAGGCGGGATGGAGCGGAGTTTGATTCAATTTAAACTGATTTGCACGAACCGCTCCAGATGCTGTGATGTGCTAATTCACAGTCTCGCTTTATATACTAAATGTAAATATGCTGGCAACAGTTTGGCTGGCATTAGCGCTCTTTTGATTAGCCAAAACACGCGCTCGTCTCTTCCTCCCCCCCTTCTGCAGCACTCAACTTGTTAAAGTCACATGCGAGCGTTAGACAAATCGACAACTAAATATGTCAATAGTTGTATTTATAGGGTATAGTATAATTAATTAATTGTTCAAACATACGATATACCGCATACGCTGCGTATGCATAACTTTATTGGTTCAGGCCGGACACACGCTTCGTATGCGTGACGTCGCTTGCTGCTGTCAGCCGTCAGCTGTCAGGTCTCACTGATTGTTTACAAATTTGCTGTGTACTTATTTGGAAGTTTTCATTTAGTATACCCTCTATCCGCTGTAAGTGGTACAACAAGGGTATTATGAATTTAAGCAAAAGTTCGTATCCTAATATTAATTCATGATAGATCAAGAGAATTTTAGACGTTTTTACCGTTGGATATACCTTGTGTGTACCCTACACTTTTATACCCCAAACACATTAAAAATTATTAAGGAGGGTATAAGAGTTTTGTTCAAATGTACATATGTAAAAGTCAGTCGGACCCTATAATATGCATATATAATTTATCGCCAGTCTCTTGGCAGGTATTAAGTTGGTTGATTAATATAAGTAAATTGATTGATGGCAGTCGGCGTGACTTGCCAAATAAAACCGCTATGGTTATTTTAAGGAGTTAACTTTATATATTATACTCGGCTGCACGGAGATATGTTAAACACTAATATGAAGAATATAGTCTGCTGATTATAGAATTATGCCTAACCAACATTATCCTCGAACAAGTTTATTTTAAATTATTGATGGCTCACCCCGTTTAGATTGGGTTTTCTTTATCATATCTCGGAGCTTATAAGAGCCAACAAGTTGGATATGTGGGTAAATTCCACACAGATCCAGCACATTTTGGTTTTTAGATACAATCCCTACCCCTACTTTAAAAAACTTCGAACTTTTCAAGTTACAGCCCTTCGGTTTGTTGTTTACTCATGTTTGAATGCCAAAGGCCCGGAAAATTTCATAATAATCAGAAGATAAGCAAAGCAGCATGCAAGCACGCATTTGCTATTAAGTAGGGGCAAAGGTAAGATGAAGTACAGCCTCTCAGTATAGCTCAAAAGTAAGTTTGATTGTCTTTGTTCTGAGCGCAGGGTATCTCCCAGTCGAGCATTTCCCACTAGACACTAATTTTACGTATTTGATTTGCATTTGAATATCACTGAAACTACTTCAATTTCGAGCACTTGTTTTGTTGCACTTTCATATGCAAAATTGCAAATTTAAATGTCGCATTTCTTTTGTTTTTAGCACTCGAAACAGTTTCCAAATTTTGTACGAGTTTGGCATTTGAAACTTGGTCTGATTTTCAGTAGATCCTTTGCACAAATAAACGACTGTCCATGTGAGTGGCATGTGCAAGTGCATAAAGTATGTAAAAGTTGAGTTTTGCCACCGACTCGTTAGCCAGTTTTCCTTTCCACAAATACATATACATATATTTTATATTTATGGCTTGGTAACAACAAACTTTCGCACAGCTGAGCTAAAGCGAATCCTTTACTTTTGGTATGTTTTATTTCTGTGACATTTTGGCAATTTATTTTGCTCGTTTACTTTGCCAGGCACAAATTGCTTTGATGTTTGGCAATGTCTCAAACAAATTTGGACAGGCTGTTGTTTTTTTTTTGCTTGTCGCGAGTGTGTATGGTGTGTGTTTGTGTGTATTTGGCTGGTTGCAGTTATCCGACGTGACTGTGGCTGTTAACTTTACGGGTGTGTGTGTGTGTGTGTGTGTTTACGCTGCACTGGGTGTTTGGGTGGGCTATTAACACATCAGTGTTCAAATTTAACGAGCAGTTTTGCCGAATGCAAACGGCGCAATAAAAGCCAAGGGTAGGCGGCCGGAACTTGTAAAATATCCGGCATGTGCAGGCAAACGGAAAGACGGAGTCGAGTATGTGGCCTGGCTTGCCGCTGGCTTACAGGCTGCCGCTGCTTGTTCTTGCCTTATAAAGTCTGATGGCCTTATAAAGTTATATACCTGCCTGTTTGAGTCAGTGTTTGTTTTTTTTTTTTTATTATTTGCCATCGAAGAAATATAATGAAAATGTTGCAGATATTCGCCTCGTCGCCTCCGCTTCCGTTTGCCATTTCGTTTTCGGCTTAATTTACCCCTTAAGTGCTGCATTTTGGGATTTTATTTCGCTGCTGTCTGTTCAGCCATGCATTATATAGATGTTTACGTACATACTTACATATGTGCATGTATCGCAAGTACATCCTCTTTTTCTTCTCTTTTTATGTTACATAATCACGTAGCGCATCTCCAGTGGCACATTAAGTGTGCGAACCGAATGTTGGTTCATGGCTTTCAACAGCTGTTCAGCTCAACTGTTCAACTTCAGCAGTTTGTTGCATGCGCTACATGTTTGTCGTATGCAAAACGATTCGCATGCCAAATTTCCATAGCTATATGTATTGCATATATACATATTTTTGTGCTCATGGACAGTGCTGACTTTTATTGACTCCCAGCTGGAATGTTGCACAAATAAAACGTCAATGTTGACATTGCATGCAACACAGTTGCAAATACCTGAAACACTGTCCAGTGGCTTCCGGCATTCAGAAATTGAGTTCGATTGAACGTGAATATTGTTTTTGTTGACTTTCACGTTTCAAGTGAGAACAGTTTAAAATGTTCAATTGCATTTTTTACATTCTAATATTTGCATTTGAATATTTGTATTAATATCTGACACCCATTTAATAAGCCAAATATTACAAATAACAAATATCAATTTAAAGAATTCCATAAAAATGAGTAAAAAGCTCACGTAAATATTTCTTACATTTAACTTCCTTAAGCGTTCACATTTGCTTTCGTTTAATATAAACTCTTTTGAACTGTGAGCGAACTCTCCATTTAATACACGATTGCAATATTAAATATGTAAAAATCTTGGCAAGGCAAAGGAAAACCTTGCAACAGAGTGTCATATTTCTGACTTCCATAAATGAAAATTTCAACATATGCAAAATATTTTCATTCGACTAGTGAACGAAATGAAACCAGAAACTTTGCTCTATGGGGCCTCCTTAACTTGTTATCCATCTGTCATTTCTATGAACGGCAGGAGACCAAGAGCCAAGAGGAGCAGGAGCGCTGCCGTAACTATAACAACATCCGCAGAATATCTATCTATATACATGGATAAAGCATTTGCTCAGGTGAAATGTGTGCTTAATGTATTATTAAATTTGTTCGTGCCGCTTAATGGAAACGGAGTAGTTTGGTTAGTCCAATCAGTAAACAGGCAGCTCATATATTCCGTTCGCCCGGACTCAATTTTGCCAGCGTATCAGAAATTCAGAATTCCCCAAAGTGCAATACTTTGTTGTAGCCGTAGCCGTAGCCGTAGCCGTACCCGTACATTTCACATGTGCTACGTATATTTTCAGCTTAATATTATTGCCAAGCATAGAAAGTATCTGAGTTACAGCACAATGTAAGCGCACAAGATACTTCTGAGCATAAATATTCAACATAACTTTCCATTCCCTCGCAGTTGTAATTTAATACAATGTTGAGCTGCACGTTTGCTGAATTTAAATTCAACTTCTATTTTAGCTCGTATTTCATCTGAATTTAAGTTCCAGCTTTAACTTTAACGGGCAGCTGCCAACCTTAAACCTTATTGACGAACTTTTGCACATGTTAAAGTATATAAGGTAAAAGGAAAAACACGAATTATAATTGGCAGTCCAAATGATCCTTAACGTCCTCTTCCGTTAAAATGAATGAATCTGTGTTTGGCATATGAATAAAAAGAGCAAGAGAAATGTGCTAATTGACTGCAATTAACTCAAGACTCTTCTGTGACTCAATTAACTCGCATCGACTGCAAATGAATGTTAATAGCCAGCTGTTGGGGGCGTCAAACGGCTTTGGGCTTAAAGTGAATATAATTATGGCCAACTCGTCTCCAGGCAACGAGAGCTTTATAAAACCAAGTATATTTTTATGCATACTCATGCATTTGTATGTGCTTCAGTCTGTTGGCCATTTATCTAGTTAAATACAAAAACTTTCTAAACTTTACTAAAACTAACTTTTAATTTGTGCTTAACGATATTTTCTCTTCTATTCCTTTTTTTTGCAGATAATGTTTTATGTTTAGGTAAGTCATAACGTGTTTTATTTATATTCATCGGAAACTAACATCAACTCCGACAATAATCGATATAAAATTCTACTCTTACTTAAGTTGGCCTTGTGCCGTTGTGCACAGGTACGCCTTCAGTTTAATTAGGTAAAATTAATGCCATTATAATTAAGCGACTGTCACGTTCGCCATAGTGTAATGCTAATTAATGGAAACAAGCTGCCAAGCAACTGAGGCGTTTTCAACTGCAAACTAACGTGGCCAAGACCTGGGAAATTATCAGTACGAGTGCGTCGGCGCTTTCTAGTCTCTGTGGGAAAGACAATTTTTTTGGTCAAGTAACACGCATTTTGCGGTTACCATTGACCCACATAGATGCGTGTCCTTTGATAAGCGCCTCCACAACGAGCCACTCGGCATATAGTAAAAAATGAAGTAGGGTCAACTAAAAAGCCAATAAATGCAAGGGCGACGAGTCGTAGCGCTGTGCACCGATAAAGCACTCGAACAATGATGCAAGTCCACTTGACTTGATTGAAATCGTAAATGGAAAATCAACAACAACATTTTCCCTATGGTTCAGCGTTGTTTGACTCTTCGTAACAGCCTGAAACTGGCTACAAACTAATAAAAATAAACGCCGAAAGGCAAATTTTGGGGAGCTGCCATACATCAATCATGTACGTCACATGCAACATACCACACACACACACAAACACCACACACACACTCGCGACACACAAACAAGCATGCATAAATAGTTGGCCAAATAGCGCTCATACGCACTGTTGCCCTCGCGCTTAATATTGTAGCCTGCTTTTAAGCGCTGGGGAGGGCTGAGCAAATGATTTTCATAAATGAAATTTATGTACGCTAAAATTGTTTCGTTGCTTTGGGCCCAAAGAGCATTAAGTTGCCACAGTTAATACGCCATGGGAGCAGAGCCACGCTCACTGGCCCGCGTGCGATGATAAACGCGCATTTGTCGCATGATAAATAGCGCCAAGGCAAACAAATAAACTTGCAAATAGACAGACTAGGGGGCGATACGAAAAAATAGAAAAAGAAAAACCTAGCTGAATTCCATGTCGGTTGGGTTATGTTTGGGTCAAAGTGCCATGGGGAACCGAACGAAATGACGAACCGACTGCCGGGCTGCTTGGCCACAGGCCCATTTGCATGGCGTGTGCGCACATTTGGGACGCAGTTAATATACGTTGCTGTGGTGCTTATTTCTGTTGTTGTTAGTTTTGTGTCAATTTCAACTGTCAATTGGTCAAATATGCAATTAAACAATTGTTTATGTGCACGTAAGCCAATTTACTATACAAGTAATTCTATTTTATTGTTTATATTTGCGCTCGACTGATTTATATTAATTGATTGGGCTCATGAATAAGTTCAGTTGCATTGACTCGGTGAAAACTCAGCGGCTCTGCGGGACGTTTTAGTTGCTAACAAGCAACAAAATTAACACCGAAACAAGTCTGGATAATTTGCGTCATTCCAGGCAGCGAATTCGCCAGCTAACTGCCATAATAATCTTTAGCATTTACTCAGCTATTAATCTCAATGAAAATTAATGTTTAATGTTTAATGAAATGGCCGCCATCCCAGTTTGATTTGGTTGCATTTGTTTGCTTCGTATCGTTTCATTTGGGCTTTATTGGATTTCTGCCGGGGGGTTTTCGTTCGGCTTGACTAAGTTGCCAACAGCTTGTGGTCTTTAGGTTAAGCTTCTGCGCTTTGCTTTTATTGTTAGAGATCAAATATAACTTTGTGAACTTAAGACTTTTGCATGCAAAGGTGACGGGCAATATAATTAATGTTAGTTCATTTAATTGGTTGCGGCAACTGCAGAAATAGAAATAGAAATTTATAAATTTATTTATTTATTTATATTAATGAAAGTTATTTAAATACTCCATACATTCACAAATAACTTTAATTCCTTTTACATTATTAAAAAATTTAATAAAGTGTGTTTTTCACTAAAATAAATGCAGGAATTTTTGGCCATTTGTTCATTTTGAATAGCTTCTTAAGTACTCGTATAATATGCCTTAAATACTTCAATATTATGTAAAATTATTGTATTAAATTAATTTGATTAAAGGCAAACATTTTTAAGTTCATATTCTGAAAACCTTTTCGAATCAGTTTCAATTGTTATTCTTTTAGACTTCTTGTCTGTCTTGCATTTCCTTTACTCAGAATTTCCACTAAGATTTATATGTAGCCACTTAAGCTGAAATTACAAATTGCACGTTCTCTAGTATTTTCTGTTTAAAATTCATGTTACATGCTAAGACTTTAGTTTAGCCAATTAAGTTAAAGACTGCTCCGAGAAATATGCTATATATTTATACTCTATTTTAGGGCAACTGTGACTTTTAAGACAAGTTCAAGTCTAGACGTTTTTTTTTTCATTTTGGCACACACAAACGTGGCAATCACAGCGCAGAGTCAGTTCCCACTTGACATTTCATGCAAATTTTACACACACAAAACACTTTAAGGTTCTTATTTATATACATACATACTATATATATGTAAAGATAAAATAAATACGTGCTCGAGCTGGCAAACGTTGACCTCCATTTGAGGCAATGAGTTCAGGTTCAGGCTATCGGCTGCGTCGGTCATTAGGCTTATCCTGACTTTGGGACACCTATAAGTAAGCCATAAATCGATTTTAGCTATAATATACCCTACTTCAGACCTTATTGGCTCTCCTGTGCTGCATGCCATGTATAAATCACAGCTGCCAATGAGCATTTTGTATTGAGTTTTTGTTGTATGCTCGCATTTAATATAATTTGCGCACACGCGTGACATTAATGAGCTTTAGATGCGGCAGCTGCGACACTTGAGCCTGGTATTAAAGCCACATTTAATTAATTAATTTGCTTGTTATCTGTTTTACGTGTTTGTGTCTGTCTGTGTGTGGGCGTTTTTCTTTGTTTGACAACATGAAAATGTGTTCTCAAAAAAAAACACACATATTTATTCTTATCACCTTCGTGGAGGGGATTATATCCTGGAACACGTATGTAGTGAGTTCTCCATGGTATTTGTGCATATTTTTTTTTGGCGGGGTTGGGTCGCCAAGCTGCGACACATGCCACTGTTTTTGTACGGCAAAAAACTTCTACAATCACATAAATAGAACACATACATATACACAGCATCTGTTGGCATAGTCGTAAAAAATTGCTTTAAAATATTTAGCGACATGTTTTTAGATGCTGATTTTGTTGCGGCTGCAGCTGGCAGCTCTTGTTATATAAATTTATAAGCAAATTTTTAGAGTGTATTCAGCAAAAAACAACTCTCAGTGAATTTGCGGCTCTGTTGCGAATTTAAACGACTTGTCATGCCAAATGGTATACTTGATGCGTATATTTAATATATGCATATATTATTTTCATAGCCAATCACAATATTATAACAGTGAAAATAAGTATATATACACATATTTAATCCTCTTCGTACTACTCGGTAATATCGCTATTAATTTGCCAATCGAAAGAGCTTTAAAATATCCATTCCATTTAAATGACGGCAATTTAAAAAGCTCAGCGGAACATGGGGAGGTAATAAAAAAGTTCCATTAAACGTGCGTCCACACAGTTTATACCAAGCAGCTTATCTGGCAACATATAAGTATATAATTTCATATAAGTATCTTGCCATCTCGCCCTGTCAGCGTGCCCCTCCCTCTGTAACGTTTGTTTTGGGTAAGTTTACAGTGTCAACAGCTTATACTAGATGGTCTTACGCGTAATTTACATGAACTGCCAACACATTATATACAGTTGAGCTGCAATTTACAGTCATTACGGCGAATCGATAGCTTCAGCACCTTGAAAATGCCGCTTAGCTCCTCTTGGTAAGCTCCAATCAACAATTCATTGCCCGCTTGACATACGGTAAGCACCAGAAGTTGGCAGGAAGTGCACTTCAATAGTTTCATACTTGCCTTTTCATCTGTCTGCGCAAATAGTGCAGCAAACTAATCGGATAAAACAAACAAACAGACAGACAGAGCTCAGTGTGGGGGGAAGTGAAACAGACCAAAACTGTTGCCTGCAAATGCCAAGCGAAGTGTCAGGTACAAAAACCAAAATGTTAAGCCCCAAACCCCAAAACAGCCGACAAATGTGGATGCCGTGTTGTTTAATTATTGAAAAACTCTGTTGCCCGTCGAGGAAAATTCAACAGCCCAGTGGCAGAAGTTGCTGGAGTCGATGCTCTGAATTTTGGTGCAGTTTGGCAGCTAGGCTCCTTCACGCAAGTGGCTCAGGTGTAAAAAGCTTTTAAAACTTTCCAATTTGACCTTTTGTCAGAATGAATTACTTTTTATGGACGGCACACAAAATGGCAAACAAAATGTACGAAACAATGCGGCAAACATTGTATTATAAATATTCTCATTGTACGAAAACAATGTAAGAACTATTCTTTTGTATATTTTGGGGCCAGCGCCCAAAGCCCCAGGGCGCAATCCAAACTTGCTGTGATTCTAATTGGCCTTTCAATGTAAAATAAGTCTTTAAGAATATTACAGAGATTGAAAGGAGGTAGAAAACGTCATGAATTTGAATAGTTGGTTAAGTTTTCAGCGTAAAGTTAACTGCGTTTCCATTTTTCAGTTCTTTAAGTCTCACTTAATTCGCCCATGTGTTTTTTTTTAAGCTTTCTCAACTACATATAAATTTGCTTAAAGCTTACATGAGCTTTGAAAGCCATATCTATATATCTATGCGTTTCTTTCATATATGGTTTTCTTTAGCTACATCTAGTCTCATCTAAAGCTTACAGCTTCGTTTTTGAAAGCTTGTTTTAGTAGTTTTCTGAGGTATTTGTTAAAAACTTTTTCAATACATTTAATATTAATTAAAGCTTTTATGAACTTTGAAAGCTTCTAAACCATATTTTTACGAATCTTACAGTACTATTCGAATCATTTCAATTACTCTTTCTTAAAGCTTTCATGAACTAAAGCGCTTCTT